TGTGCCAGGAAGGCGAGCACAAACGCATCAGCCCGCCCAGGCTCTGCCCAGCCAATGCCCATGCTGCTGGCCTGGGAGCACACGCCGCACGACACCTTGGCTGGACGCCTGAGAATGTGGGGGCTTGGGCTTCCTTCTGTGGCTACTGGGAGCCATTGAAGGTTCTGAAGTGAGAGCAAGAGCTGTCCGGAGCAGAGTGGCGGAGTCGCAGTGATCTGGCAGGAGCTAGATAGACCAGCAGAGGGAGAGGCTGGTCAGGACATGGCCTTCCCTAGGCTTGGCAGAGACAGGAAGTGGCAGGGTCAGAGCAAGGTTGCTTTTGTGTTTGTAGAGTGGCGCTTTTTCTTTGTTTCTTTTGGAAGGAGTAAGAAGGATGCTGGCACTCACCTCTCCTCTAGCAGAGACCCCTCACCCCCTACCCGCACCTCCTCTGCTGGCCTGGACCCGCTCCCCTCCTTGAATTCCGGGGGCTATCTGCATAGGGCCGGTCCCGTGCACTCGGGCTCCCTGAGAACCATTTGCCGCATTGTCCAGCTCACCCTTTCTCTGGAATCCAGGTCTTTCCCAGTCCAGGCCCCCTGATGCTTTTTTGTGAGATGCTTCCACGCAGCCCTGTTGACTTTTCTCCCCCCCAGGAGCCTTCCCCGACCCCAGTGTTGCCTGAAAGCCCTCACGCCCCGTGCATGGGCCCATCACGGTGTGCACCCAGAGCCGGGGCCCCTGGCCTCCCCGCCGATAGGTCCGGTCCCGTCCGGCTGATGGAGCTCGTGGTGACTAGGCACAGACTGTGTTTGTCTCGTGTGGCAGTGCCTGTTGGCTTCTCGTTACGGAAATTACCCAGCACTCATGGGACTTTTCTTTTGGGTGGGGGAGGGGATTTTGTTCTTTATGACAATGATGAACATTTTACTGAAGCATTTATTTTCATATTTCCTTTTTTCAAAAGGATTTCTGATGTCTAGATTTGTTCTTAATTTTCAGTGATAACCTAGCATTTTTCATATCTGTGATCTAAATCCTGTCCTTCCAACATCCCCTCAGAGACTACCTAGCATATAAAATTATTTTTAAAATTAACATAAATTTTGATTAATCTTGCTGTGTAATTTGTGGGAAAGGCATTAAGGGAACCGTCATTAAGGTGAATAATTTTATCTGGAGTACCAGAAAATATTCATGGTCAGTACTGTGGCTTTTCAGTATTTATATGAAAGGAATATTAAGCACGGAAGAGAGATTACGTTTTGGAAGAGGGACAGCAGCATGGGGGAGTGCACAGAAGCTGGCGGGCTGCAGAAGGAACGGACCTGCTGTCTGCAGGATTCTCCAGGTCATCTGGAAAGAGTTGGGGCAGAATGCACACACGGTGCCTGTGGTCTTCTATAGGTCATGGCCCACTTTCCTCTTGTCTTCTTAGTGGCTTCTTCATTTTTAAATGTTCTATATTTTCTTTTCTTTAAGATTTATTTATTTGAGATAGAGCAAGAAACAGAGAGTGCGCAATCAGGGGGCAGAGGGAGAAGCAAACTCCCCGCTGAGCAGGAAGCCCGACGCAGGGCTCGATCTCAGGACGCCAGGATCATGACCTGAAGCGAAGGCAGACACTTCATCAACTAAGCCCCCCAGGCGCCCCGTGTTCCATGTTTTCTACAGTAAGCGTGCACCGTAAGGATTACAAATGTCAGTAGCCCTTTGAATAGAAAGGATTTCTTCCGTGTACACTGGGATGACCGTAGTCCGGGGTGCCTGTGGACTGAACCCCATTTCTGGTAGTCCTGGGATTGTGGGGCTCGATGCATAGTGTGTGGCCTTGTTGGTCTTTATTTCGGGCACCCCTGCCCATGCCACCCTGCACCGAAGCAGGACCTCGAGTGCCGCTGGGACAAGCTGCACAGGCCTTCGTGGCTCCGGTGAGTTGCGTGCCCGCCTGCCCCTCCTGGCTCATTCCAAGGCCAGAACTGGCCCTGCCACACAGCCGTCCCAACAAAAGCGCACGTCCAGTGTGAGGGAGTGATCCCGGGGTGGCTCGGCGCGTGCCCGCGGTGCACTCACTCGGTGCTCGCGGCTCTGCTCCGGGGGCCAGGGTGGGACAGCCAGGAACCGGAGGTGGTGGGGTGGTTTCAGCTGGGCCCTCGGGCTGGGGCATTGTGCTCCTCTGTCCTGCCATCTCGTGTGGCCTGTGTACTCGCGGCCCCGTCATCTTGAGCAACTGGGTGATTTAAAGCCACCCGAGGGGTGCCAGGGTGGCATGCTCTGTCGGCGAAGCGTCCGCCTTCGGCTCAGGTCATGATCTCAGGGTCCTGGGATGGAGCCCCGTGTCTGGCTCCCTGCTCAGCGGGGAGCCTGCTTGTGCTCGCTCACTCCCTCTCTCCGTCAAATAAAAAAGTGAAATCTTAAAAATAAATAAATAAATAAAGCC